AGGTCACTACAATGCTCGACGCAATGCTCCTTCCCAACAACTTGAGCATGTTCAACGCGGACGCTGCATTGTTCGCTCAACGCACCAAGGAGGCCGGTCAACTCGCCCGATGCCGTATTCAGGCTTGCCAAACTGCCGACGCACACCGCTACAACCTTACGCACTGAGAGGTTACCTTCCAACCAGGCGATAAAGTTTGGGTGTGGACTCCCATCCGAAGGTGTGGTCACTCTGAAAAGTTGCTTCGGCGCTACTTCGGCCCTTGCAAAGTTCTACGCCGACTCAGTGACGTTACGTATGAAGTTCTCCCTGAGGGCACCTCAAGACATTCCCGTCGGTTTCCACAAAGTGATGTGGTTCACGTGTCAAGGCTCAAGCCATATTTCTCGTGTCATCCATCGAACGTGGGCTAACTTACCACATGCAATGACTATGTTTTTGTCACTTTCGTTTCCTTTTGATTGTCTTGTGTCCTAACTCCTTTCTTTATTGAGTACTTCTGTGACATCAGCCCATTTTTTTTTTTTGCTAAGACGGAGTTGTTGGGTTCCATGGTAGCATCTTTTCTCATTTTTTTTCTCAACGCTCATTACCAGCATCGAGCCAATGCTTTTCGAGGAGAGGGAATAATGTCACAGGTAATGGGTATGAGCCATCAACTGTAGGTGGAATCCCTTGGAAGTGAAGAAAGAAGAGGGCTTTTGCGTCCTGGTCTGAGGGCAAGCAAGACGTCGATTCCTTGCTGTCTGTTATTACGTTCGTGACTATATATATATACATATATATATTATATAGTGTGAAGTTTGTGAAGAAAAGGCTTTTCAAATTGTGTTGGTCCAGTGCGCTCAAGAAAAAAAAAATTATCCACCACAACGCAGCTAGTCACAACAATTCACAAGTTCACGTCGTCGCTTGAAACGGGGAATGAAATTGATGCTATTTTTTTTAGATTTTAGTAAAGCCTTCGATCTTGTCACGCATAGCAAACTCATTTCTAAATTACATATTCTAGGTCTACCTGTTAAACTCATTGACTGGATCCATTCTTACCTTCACAATCGCAAGCAGTGTGTTAAACTAAATGACTGCATGTCTGGTATTCTACCAGTATCATCCGGAGTTCCTCAAGGCTGTGTTTTGGGACCTATTCACTTTCTAGTGTATATAAATGACATTGTTAAATCAATAGACACATCACAAGTCCACATAAAGCTTTTTGCAGATGACTGCATACTTTTTAAAATGATTACTACTCCAAATGACCAGACATGCCTGCAATCCAACCTTTGTGCCATTTCTAAATGGTGTAAGGATTGGTCAATGAAATTAAATAGCGATAAATCAGTTGTCATGCATATAACAAATAAGAAACACCGTTTTGATTATACATATTCTCTCAACAACTGTCCATTGACTGAGGTTAACGAATATAAATATTTGGGCGTCACAATTACAAGCCGCCTAACATGGTCAAGCCACATTAATAAAACATTCTCATCTACTTCTAGAAAGCTCGGTCTTTTGAGACACAAATTGAAAACAGCGCCCTCAGAAATCAAAAAGTTGGCCTACAATGCTTTTATAAGACCAAAGTTAGATTATGCTAGTGTCGCTTGGGACCCACAAATAAAGAAAGATGTTAAGAAGCTTGAGATGGTGCAGTGAAAGGCGGTTCGCTTTATCTTTAATGCCTACCACAGAAATGACTCGCCAACAACGATCATGGCCATTAATGATATCCCTACTTTACAAAATTGAAGCGCTGTTGCCCGGCTGAAATTTCTACACTCACTTTATTTCCGTAAATTTAACATTAGTCCAGATACTTATATAAGAAATCGAACCTCGAGACAAACTCGACATACACACAGTTACTTTCTTGAATCTTACTTCACACGTACTAATCTTTTCATGAACTCGTTCTTTTCTCAGTCGATCAATGATTGGAACGCGCTATCTTTTGAAGCATTTTTTGATAATGAAAATCCTGACTTCGATAACTATGTATCTTTTCGTATTTAACCGTACAATTCAAGATCTCAGACTGTCTCACGTTGTATCTGATTTGCATTCTCTGGTTGCAATTTGCAATTTCTTGCTGCCATTTTACTTTGTTCAAATGTTATCCTGTGTTCTACTGCCTTAACATGTTTTTATTGCTTGAACTTTCTTTTTATTGAATTTACATTGTGAATCTCTTTTTATTATGCCCCCCCTGCTTGGTCTTTTGACCGCAGTATTCTGTAAATAAATAAATAAATAAAAATATATATTTATACTACTGTGTACCAGATAACATGAAAAATATTGAAATTATGTTTCTTTGATACGCTTTCAGAATATAAAAACTGTGAACGTCTATTGTAAAGTGTCCAAAAATTAATTGTCGAGCATTCCGGCTGAGAAAACGCAAAAGTGTTGAATAAACGTCACAATAATCAAAATATGTTAGTTTAAGACATTTTCATAAATACAACAATGAATTTGTCACGTAGTCAGTGCCATATCATCCAGCTACCTGAATTGTGGATTTTTCTGTCAGCCTCAGATCAAGAAGCTGATTCCAAAAAAAAAAAGTCAGGTGCTTGGCACTCGCAGGAAAAATCAGTTGGCTTTTTATCTAAATAGTGCCTAGTAGTCTACTAAACATGCGATGTGTCATGCCGATGATAAATGAGATTTAAAAAAAAACACTGATTAGAACAACTGAGTTGGTTACTGTTGTAAGCCTGCAAAATGCCTCATCATCTCAGAACAAAATCCTTTCTTAGAGCAGTATCATGCGGTGAAGTTTTGCATCAAAGGGGGTTAAACTGGGAGTGCAGCCGCAGGTCAGTCAAGTGTTTTTGATTGGCACAAATTGTTTCGGGAAGGAAGACTGCAAGTTTGAGGTGAGCATATGTCAGGACGTCCTTCAGCAGCAAGACACCGTAATAAAGCGTATGCTGTAGTGTACTTCCCTATTAAACACGGCATCACGCAGCTTTTATAGCCACATTCGAACCCAACTGTGGCTCCTTCAGACTTCCTTCTTTCCACAACTGAAAAGGGACATTGTCACAACTCGGGGGCCGGAGCACAAGCTCCACCCAAGTCGTGGCATGGGGTTGGACCTCTGGTAGATGGCTTGTGCCCATCGTCTGTATGAAGGAGTGAAGATCCTTTTCGAAACAGACAGCAAAAGCTTTAGTAATGCGTTTGAACAAAGATAAAGATACAGTATTTTCCACAAGATAAAAAGGTACTTTCAACAAATAGATATGTTAGTTTCAAAACCTAGGTGAATTAGTTATACATTTCGTGATGCAAGTGCAGCTTGCATAAAAGTTACAATTTGTAGTGTCAATGCTCGAAAACAGATAGTTGATGAAGTTGCAAGAGCCTAAGCAACAATTTCTTCGCAGTTCACTAATTTCAAGCAAATGACATACGTAACCGGGTGCAGCAGAGTCCTTTAACTGCGGCCCTGTTCATAGGTGACCCTTGGAGCTGGCAAGACGGGTCGGCGGCAGCTCCGCGAAGACAGTGTGTGTAGGTTTTCATGACGTGTTGTTCGCTGCGTTATGTCCTAGGAGTTGCCCAGCGTGGTTCTCTACTCCAGTGCCGAGCAGACTGTTGAAGCATGGGATCGGCTCGCTTTTTATAATGTTTCGTGGGCGTCGGCTTCAACTTCCAGTGTAGTTTTTATGCATCCTTGAAATGGTCATGTATGCACTGGTTGCTACTGTTGTTTAGACTTCACTTTTGTTGATTAGCACTGGCAAACAATGAACTCGTGCACAAAGAACCTTCTATGTGGGACATGGATGAACATGTAGCCTGGATTTAACGTAATGTAGTTTAGACTCTGCCGTTGGTCACCTTCACGGCAAGTGATTCAAAAGTATACAAAACAAACGCACATCATCTGACATGTAGCTTGCATGCAACGTCCTGTGTTTCAGACTCTGCTGTCGGTTATATTGTCACGGGCTAAGTAGATGCCTGAGGATGACGACGACGAAGTGCTGAACGTGAACGTGCTCGGACTGCAGCAGCGTTGTACGCATTAGCTCGCCAGTATATTCGCCAGTACGCATTTGCTCGCCAGTGTATACTTTATTCCCCGTAACAATATGTTCGAGCGAACTGCTTTGAAATTACACAAGACAAGAGCCTCTATAGTTCTTACACGGTTCGTTCATGTTGGAAGATAGACGTATCATTCATATTCCTATGGATTTCGTTAACAAAGATTAAGGGACATACGTGTGGTCACGGCATACCATTCTTGGAGACGAATTATATCAGGTTCGCCCTTAACAACAGTGTAAAAATCCCTTTTGAGGGCATACCTTAGGACACATTATGTGCAAGAAATGCTAATACGATGCGACTTTTGTGACAGACGTGAACAAAACGGCACCATGTTTTGCTCCAGGCTATTCAAGAGGCTGAAACGAGGGAACTGAGGAGCATTCCAGTTTCTGCATTCCAGGCAGCCTTTAGGGATCAGCAGAGTAATTGGAAATGCTCTGTTGATGCAGCAGAAGCATGTAATAACTATTAAGACACCAAAAGTGTTAATTAATAAAAAAATCAGTTCTAGTACTTTCAAGACACCCTGTGATTCATAAAATTGTATATGAAAGCACTACCTGTCAAAAAATAAGTAAAACTTTCGTCAATGTCATGACAATAAAAAAAGAACTGATTAAGTGCTGCTTCAACAAAGTAATGATTCTGACATAGGGCCTACTGCTAGGCAAATTCATATTTGAGGTGTTGGTGCTCGTCTTGAATGTTGCTAATATAGATCAAGTGCATTCCATCATTCCTATGCGTACAACTGCAACACAGTGGCAATCTTGCCTCTAAGTGATTGAACAAAACGCTATGGATGACTGTCTCCAATGAACACAAGTCAGGCATGTGGATTTTGTCAATGTGCATCGTTTTAGAGATGCTGTCACCACCAATGTGCCTAGCACTTTCACTTGACTCGTCGCTTTCATCATTTCAGAGACCTTGTATTTACAACTAAGTGCACTGGTTAAACAGTCGGAAAATCCCAACAAGCTGTACTGTGATCAAGCATGGATGAAACTCATTCCTGCACTTTACAGACTCCTACAAGATCTGAAAAGGTGTGAAAATGTTGCACTTGTTTTGGAGCATGTGTTTTAGAGTGTACTAAGCTCTGTACAATCTTCAAAATGCAGCCGTTGTAGACTCTTATGTCAATTTGTGCGCTGTGTGGTTATAGAATGTCAAAAAACAACCTGTGGAACGATGGAGGCTTTAGCGCAAAGACAGTGAAGCTGATTTGTTCTGTTTTTTTCATTCCCCCCCCCCCCTTTGCCGAGTATTTTGCTGCCATATTTATGTGCATCTCACACAGAGAATCTGGTCTCTTTTTGCTTTTGTTTGTTCAGCTGTGCTCACTATGTCTCGTAACCGTTACTAGCAGGCAGGCAGATTGTTTCTAACTGGACACAACTAAGGATGAAAGGATGAGCAAACATTTGAAAATTGTAAAGAAGTGAATTGCATTGTATAAGATTCGGTTTGCGAACGAAATTAGGCATATTCTAAGTTCCAAATATTTTTTCAAATAATCTCCATTGCCGAAAAAAGCATAAAGGAATGAAATCTTTGCACATCGTGTTTTTTTTTCGTGCTTTAATTATTAAAGTACAGAGGTCTTGTATGTCGTCCATGTTGGCATCGGACTGCCAATTTTGTATAGACCGTCGGATCAGAGCCTTTTGTTTACAACTCAAAAGATACCGAATTGGAAAGTGTCGTAAGTCCTCCATCATAATTTTGATGGTTGCAAAGTTTTATAGTAAAGAATGTGTTGGTTGGGCTTTCAGTGACAGATCAGAACCCTCTTTCACAAGTTCTTGTTTGTACATTTACATGAAAGAATGCATGTGTCTTGTTTCTACAAATTGTTGCAGAATCGGCATTCAGCACTAGTTTTAAAGGAGCACTGACATCAAATTTACTCATGTCAAGATTTTTGCATGCAGGAGTAGCTATCGATCTCCAGAATCGACTCGCGACCCAAAATGCAACTGAGGGACAAAAAATTGGTCCTGCATCTGCATCTTTCGCTGCAAATGTCATTGAAAGAGGTCTTGCATGTGGAGAAAGTGAATAAAATGTTTATTTGATGTTCAGCGCAACAAAAATCAGTGAATTGTATTCTGGAAGCACTGCGTTAGAGAGTCTCCATCCATGCAGCGAAGGCAAACGACCGCATCGAGGTACGTTAGACACGAGTGCTATTTGGCAGTTGTCTTCGAAAAAGAGGGAAGGTGTGCGCTCCCATAGAGAAAGATGCGCGCCTGTCTCGGAGGCGATAAGGTGTAGAACGCAAAGTAACGGGCCGGTGCCACCACCGTGTCATCTTAGCAAAACGTTGGAAACACTTTCCTTTTTTAGCATCAGGTTGTAGTCAGCGCAGCGTAATAAATGCCACGCTCTTTAGAATTACTTGTGTACCTTCTCTAGTATAAAGCCACACATACAAAATATTGATGCGTTGGTATGGAACCTCAGATATGCACAATAATTGCTTTTTAATTGACAGTCCCACAAGTGTGAACGCTGAAACTTGAGCAATATTTGTGGGCGTTGGGGATGGGGTCGGCCGTTTGGGGTATCGCTTAATGCTGTTTGGGATACTGTTACGGCGGACAAACATACAAACATACAGACAGACCAAGATTTTTGCGTCGAAGTACCTCAAGAAAAACTATCGCCTTTTATGACTCCAAGTTTGATTGATTTATATTGCCGGTATCTAGCACAATTCAGAACGGCCGGCAAGCTTGCCATTTTTAGTTTGGGGAGTGCTTCCTCACGGTCACCTCCTGAGCATGCCACAGGTGACAGAGTCTCCACAAGGAGTGACGTGAGGCTCAGCTGCTTTGATAACATTGCATCTGCTATGCGCACACGCTCAGCCATGCCGTGTCACCAGCCTTGTCACCAGCATTGCTGTCGTCGCCTCAAAAGGTGTTGTCTAGGGTTGGATACGACAGTCTGGAGCAGGGAATCGCCACAGTTCGCTATGCCGTGAATAACTTTTGCTTCGATTGACCCTTTGCAGAACAGCAATACCAAAATGGTTGCCATTTGAAGCAGCAATGAGGAGGTACCCTAGGATGCACACTTCAGAAATGCTCGCTCCTGTGTCTCAGTTAGCTATGTATATTGGGGAGTTCTGGTGCACGCCCCATTCAGGTAGGCACGAAAGGGTCAATGTAATATCAGTGTAGGGAATGCACACTAGCGGAGAAATAGAATAGGTTTCCAGCTTGTCAGGTTCTTTGTGTCTCCAGATGGCCCCACCTGTCTGGCCTCTCACGGTTACTGCAGCAGTGACCTCGTATTACACAGAAGCAAGGATGTCTAGACGAACTAAAATTCACTATTAACAATACCTGCGTGTTAGCGATGATATCTATCGATTCTCTACTTCAGATTGATGGCTTTTAGCTGTATTGACGTGTAATGATATGACAGACACATTGCGCCTTGTCTGCACTTCCAGCCAGACAGCTCACAATGGTTTCCAGATTCGCACACGTTCCCAATCATGCTCTTTTCTTTCGTCTTTCTCTTATTGGTTGTTTGCGTATTGTAATTTCATGAAATCATAAACTCATCACTAACACCGGGCCATTCTTATGTGCTATTCAAGTTTAAATGCATGACAAATAATAGCCCTATCGATTAAAGCATACCCATTGTCACTATGCATGTTATTCACCTTGAAGGAAACTGGAAAGGCATAGTTTCAACAATGAAGAGCCTGCTGGTTCAGCCTTTAGCACCTCTGTATGTCACTGGCGTTTATTCACATTAACAGAAGTAGTATTTGGGTTGCTGCGAAATGTACGCTTGCTCAAGACCTTCTTTACCCCAGCATCTAAGCTAACCGACGAGCACGACAAACGCAATGTGTAATGAAGCTAAGAGCTGAAAGTGTTCGAACTGATGCGCTTCAAAGACGAGCTGTGAATATATAAAGGTGCACAGTGCCTTAGACTGCCTTGGAAGTTACCCGACAATTTTGCATACACAGCTGACTCTAGACAAGCATTTTGACCTTCTCACATGAAGTTTGTAATAGAAAAAATAGGCTGTAAGCTCAGAGCACATACAAGAGGCTTGCTCTAGAGCGTGATTTCACTCATGACTTGCGTTCGGAAAAGCTTGTTTTGAGCCACAAAAAGTGCTGCTTAAAAAAGCACGAATGTGGAAAACATGCATGAAGGGATACCCTTCCCAAATTGCAAAGATCCTTTTTTTCAGAGTGGCCCTACCCTGTGCCCTTAATTAGTTTTTTGTTAGATTCATTTCGTAAAAGAAAGTACACAATGTCAACCAAAGTGGGAAAAAAAACTGCTCCTGTATGTCAGCAGAACTCTGTGTGAACATTAAAATTTTGGCATAGAGTTCATGTGAATTGTGCGCAATAATGTTAAAGACGCGCAAAGTAACAAAGACAGTAAACCTGGTAAAAGTGTGTGGGCTTCATCGCTTTGAATGAAAACAACGAAGAAAATGTGTAGGGCACATAGACAAGCCTGCTGATCGACGGCAATACACAGTTGATGAAGGTGAAAACACATTGGCATGCTGGGCGGATGCTGTGTCTGTGATGTGCTGTGTGGGCAGGTCCAAAGCAGAAAGTATGCGGGCCAGGGGCAATAGATGTAAATGGAGCTTTTAGAAGCCACGTGTAATTGTTTTTATTTGTGTCTGTTATATTCAGGATTGAAGAACTGAAGAAAGAAATTGCAGAGAACTGTCATTACGTGGAGTTCCTCAAATCTGTGCAGCCTCTGTTGAGAGGTGACTCTTGTGACTCCCAGCACAGCAGTGACCAAGAGCTTGAAAATAGCGACACATCATCAAGCGAGGACATAACCGTAATCAGCCGTTAAGAACCTTTGCAAATAAATGCATAATAAAGATGGTTCATTTTTGTATTAGCACTGCGTGTCTGAGTCTATTAACCCTGTAATGACCACTGTATGATATTTGATACATTGAACATGAAATCTTAATAACAGTACTAAAAGCTACCATAGGTGTCACAAACAAGCAGCTATTGCAAATAAGACGTGTTATGAAGAAGGTACAATAGCTTATGTATTATAAAATAGTAATTATTTATTTTCAATCAGTACTAATTAAGTTGTGCCTCAAATAAAATTGAATTCATTTTTTTCATGAACTGTGGGAGAAGAGTAAAAACAGTTTGCATTTTCTAGTAATTTTTCTGAAGGCATAGCTATTCTTAGGCTGCATGTAGGCTTAATCCTGAAATGGTTTTGACGATTCCGTACGAAAGCACCGAGCTGATACAGCAAGTAAGGACCATTTGCTGACCAATTTAAGCTCTGTGTCATGTACATAAACATGTTGATTGCTACAGATATAATCAATGCAGTTCTACGAGCTCTGAATTTTCTGCTTTCATTCTACATGGCACTGGTGATTGATCTAGAATATTTCTTGCCTACATTACTGAATCTCCAGTGGACAGCGAAATTCATCTGCCTGTATTGCAACATGTGTTGACGCGAGTTGCATGACGGTGTTTAGTATCTTAAAGTTCGTTTTGGTTCTCCCAGTTCAGCGATTCGCGACTGGTAAAGCTTTGCCCCGCCGCGGTGGTCTAGTGGCTAAGGTACTCGGCTGCTGACCCGCAGGTCGCGGGATCGAATCCCGGCTGCGTTTCCGGCGGAGGCAAAAATGCTGTGTGCTCTTGTGCTCAAATTTAGGTGCACGTTAAATAACCCCAGGTGGTTGAAATTTTCGGAGTCCTCCACTACAGCGTCTCTCATAATCGTATGGTGGTTTTGGGAGGTTATACCCCACATATCAATCAATCAGGAGAAAACTGTTAATCTGACCAAACTTTTCGGCGGTAAACGGAAAGTTAGATTACAGCGGTACACACCGGCGCTGATTGCGGCGAACAGAGCGTCAGCCGTCGACCAAATGGTCGTCGTTGGGGCGCGTCTTCTTCTGTACATCGCGCGAAGCGTCGAACTGTCACGCATTATCACTGGTGGTCGAACTAGTTCTACAATAATTTCGCGTGTTCGCGTCTGGTGTGCGAGCATTTCTAACACTGAGGTGCGATCTGGTCCGAGTATTGCTCATAGTCTTTGTGAGTTTAAACTGTCAAATATGCGTATTGAAGATAATGTGTAACGAAAGTGAGACTGGTAGATTTTATCGCTGCCCGTGCTAGCTAATGCTATTGGTCAATGCCATCTTCAAAAAGCATAAA